AACAATCACTGCATCGTCTGAACTCTGATGTAGTATTTCCCAAACTCTCCTGTTTTTTTCCAGCAGTGTTTTATTTTGCATCAGCCTCTTCTGAAGAAAAAAAAAAAAAACTGTCTCCTTCAAATCTCGACAGTTTCATGCAGCATCGCTGTGACAGCCAGCTACACTGACAGGGTACTATATCTGTAGTGGAAAACAAAGTAGTTGGTGCCAAAAGAGTCGTACCATACATTTCAAATACATTTGAAAAACATATTTTTATTATTCCATTTGTATCAGCTAAGCAACGAGGGCTGCATATTCAGACGAGTTAATAAGCAAACACAGCTGACGGAGCAACACTAGACGCTGATGGAGACTCATTACACTCATATTTTCTCCTCAGTGGACAATGTGTCAACATGTTAGTATGTCTGAGAAATATAGCAAACGTAACCAAGTGTACTATAACATACATACTTACACTGGCATCTCAAATTAACAGAGAACTGAAATACCCATGCAAATTATAATGATAATGGTAATGTAAAAAGACTTTTCCAAGCCTAACCCTAAATCTAACTTCAATCACAGTAACCAAAAAGAAATTATATCCATGTCTGTTCAGCTTTAAAAACAATAAAACATGCAGCTTATGTAAAAAGCACTTTATAAAGCCAGCAGTGTTTTGTTGGGTGTTCTGTTTTTCTCTGGTTTCCCTACAAAGCCAAAGCAGATGTGAATTTTAGGGCCTTAAACTGTACAAATGTACTTGGTTTTCCAATAAAGTCAAAGCAGATGCAATTCTGTGCCCTGAAATGTACAAAAACCAGCACACACATACTGCAGACCATCATCACCTAACACTGGCTGCCATACATACTGAACCTGTCATCTTTGTTCAATGACCAACCTGATATCCACGTCAGACTTTTACTGAGCAACAGCTCTGATTATTTCTAGTTTATCACTGATAAATTAGCAAGAGAACGTACAGCTGGCCAGAGCTGCTTTTTATCACCCGGCCAGTAATTAGTGCCCTGAGGGCGGCAGTCATACCTTCAGCCCTGCTCTTAACCAACACAGAGCACTCTTAAAAAGGACCTGCAACAAACTAATGAGATTAGCCAGAGGAGAGGACTCATGGGGTAAGGAAAGTCCCTACTGCGCCACAAAGCCTTTTCACACACTGCCACTGCTTGTTCGAACACCACAGGCAAATCCAGCAAGTCCTTACGCAGCTTCCCCATGAACAATAGGACAATATGACTTTACACTGAGAGCTGAACATATTTCATCGGGGTGCTGTACATAAACCAGGTTCACTGTGCTTCTTCATCCTAAATAACAATAAGTCCATACTGCACTCTCTAAGTGTACACTGAGCATAAGGATGAGTAATGTGAGTCACTGGCTTGTTAGAGGCTGCCAAAAGGGCTCAGGTCCACTGTAGCAGCAAAAGACCTGAAAATCACAGAGCTCAGAGCTACTATGGAAAGAAAGAGAAGTTTGATCACAGTACTGTTTCAAACATTCTTATTATTATTTTGATACTGTATCAAAACTCAATGTCTGCACTACTAGTTTTCACTGTGAACATAAAGAAAAGAAAGAAAGAAAAGAAAGAAAGAAAGAAAGAAAGAAAGTGTAAGCTAGTTACATAGATGGATCACCCCTGTGTGTGCGTGTGTGTGTGGCACTTTACTAACAGGCAGACTCTGTCTGACGCTCTCCACACATCCCAGTGACAAAAAGCCCTCTTCAACATCCTGAACACCCCTAAAAGCATTCAGCTACTTCTTGTATGAAGAGAATGTACTACCCCCTGACCCACCACATCCCTGCAAAGAATGACATCACTGAGAAGAGCGGAAGGGGTGAGGCAACTTCACCTTTAACTGCTTTCAGTAGTAACCTGAAGACAGATTTACTTACACTTCAATTAATCAACAGAGACTGACCACAACTAATGTGAGCGCATTCATACAGAGGACGATGGATAGAAGCTTTCCAGAGAGGCAGAGAAAAGTGTGTGTGTAGAACAGAAGAGAGGAAATTCAGTGCATGTAAGGATGAAAAAAAAGAGAAAGAAAGATGAAAGAAAGCTGAAAGAAAGCTAAGCTGATGCAACACATTCTGAAATGTGTGCTTGGTTGTTGCCACCTGCTGGCTTTGACCTTCAGGATGTATTCTGTTCTCTATGTGCATCCAGGCAGTGTGATGTGTTTGTCATTAAAGCACCACGTGTTCCCACACTAATGAAACTCCATTTCTGATCAGTATCAGAGTCGCCTGTCATTTAACAAACGGGTTTACTGAGACAGAGTCATCCGTATCACACACAGCGCTGACAAGACGCAGACTCAGTTCACTTTCGTCTTTGTGGATTTCATACCACACGACATGAATACATTAGCATTTGCTTTAAATTAAAGAAAGCATATTACTACTGCTGCTACTGCTGCTGCTACTACTACTACTACTACTACTACTACTACTAATAATAATAATAATAATAATAATAATAATAATAATGTCTGTGCAGAGTTAACATGGTTAAAATAAATAAATAAATAAATAAATAAATAAAAAACATTATTCATTTGTTAATTTTGTGATTTATTCTCAGACATCAGGGCTCCTACATTTGGACATCAGGCAAAAAGGCACCAGGATAAGTAACCACAAACAGAAAATGTCCTCAGACAGTAAAGTTCATGTGAGAGTCACAATTCTACCATTCTTTCTTACTAGATTCATTACAGTTTTGGGGCTAAATTAAAGATGACAATATGACAACGATTAAGCTTAAACTCACACACTAAGTAAAGGAAAGGAAAAAAAAAACCTGGTTTAACCATTTCACACAATTATTTTCCACATGGTCAGTCAAATAACAGAACTTGGTTACCGGCACAGGCACAGGCACAGGCACAGGCACAGGCACAACAACAACATTTTCAATGAAAAACTCTTGTAAGACATAGAAATAGTAAAATATAACAGTTAATGTGGCAACATATTGTGGCCATCTCTCCTTCTCTCTCTTGTTAACATCAAGTCAGGAGCGCCAATATTTACAATCACATCACACTGCACAGTGGCAGCAATCTCTCAGTAACCTAGACTTTATGCGCGCGCACACACACACACACACACACACACACACACACACACACACACACACCTTCACAGCTGCCTTTCAGAGCCGGCTGGATACCTTTGAAGTTGCACCATTAACTGAAGGAGCACATAAATATTTAACTAAAAAAGGGGATAAATAAAAAGATAGGATTTTAGCCGCTTCCACGTACTTAAAGCCTGGAACACACACATGTAGAGAGTCCAGTCTCAGGGTGAGAGCTTTCAGGTTACAGATGAGAGGTTGTGATTGTTCTGATGTCAGAGGAACCTGTTCACTCTAAACACTTTGGTTCTAACAGCTCTACTCGAAAAGCTACACCTTCACAGAGAAAGATTCTGTCCCAACACTTGTTCAGTAATCCGCTCGAGCCAAGAGTTCACCAGGCCTCACTCACTGCACAAAGGAGCCTACCTTTCATTAAAAACCTCCCCCCCACCAGTTTTCTTACTAATTTGTCATTTATTTAAAGGGCTCATATCATAGACAACTGAATTTTCCTCACTTTCTTAAATGTTTCATGTAGTATGTAAAAACTTATTTTCAAAACATACCATTCACTCTCCAGTCCATTCATAAACTAAGCTGCAAAAACATCCCATTTCAAGTTTACTGTCTCTGAGATGCCATGGCCATCTCAGTAATATATATATATGCTTATTCAGCCTAAACAAGTTTAGCCTCGTCCATTCTTAATGAAGTTATAGGGAGTGTTTCAATTGGCCTACCTTTTTTAATAAGGCACAATAGAGAAGAGCCAATCAGAACAGAGCTCAATTACATGCATCAGTCTTAAAGGCAAAGTATTAAAAACAGACTGTTTAATTCTAAGGTATAAAGAGAGATTTGAAAATGGTCAAGTAAAAATAAATTGATAATTTTTGTATATAAACACACAAAAACGTAAGTGGACCTCAGGGGTAAAACATGGCTGGTTCAGTGAACTTGTTTCCTCTGATACTAATCAGAAATTAAGCTCTATTCGATTTACCGAGGCCTGATCCAGACTTATTAGTAATCAAATAATTTTTCATTTGCTTCTTTGTGCTAAAAGCATTTTAAGTGATTAGGAATAATTATTTCAATTACAAACATAGCTTAGTGAAATCTGCAAGACAATTAATTACCAATACTCAAGAATGAAGTATCAAAATCAAAAAAAAAAATCTTTTTTCCTCAGATCAAAGATGAAAAAGTGCATTTGGAGCAGGAAAGGCACAGATGCTCCTCTGTCAGAGGCTTTAGGTACACACTGACTGAATGGCTGGAGCCGAGTGTAAGACACTCTGTCTCTGTAACAGGAACAGAAGAGTCCCTTTAACCTCCCACTGTCTCTGTCTCAGTCTCAGACCAGCCCTGTATCATTTACTGAGTCAGCCATGCAGGCACTGCTGAAAATTACAATGTGCAAAAAGGAAGGTACTTTCGCATTCAAACACCCAATTACTACCTTTTGGCTGACAGTAATTTATTTAAAAGTATCCAAATGTGGCAAAGCTGTCTTCTCCCACTTTAAGGCATGCAAGCCAACCAACCTAACCAAGAAATTTAAAACAGCTTAACAAAGGGTGAGGTGCCAGAGAAAATTGCCAAGACAAACTGTTTGATTGAGGCTAATGGAAGAGAGGCATCATCTTGCACTTAAATGGTGCAAATCAAATGAATCTGAATTGTGCTGCAGGGAAAACAAATAGAGCAGCATCTAACAAGAAAGAAACAGGCCTGTCGTTTATTAATCCCAGCCTGTAAACAGTTGTTTCCTGGAAATAATGCACATATTTAATAGTGTGCATAGCATTCAACATAATCTGCAATATATCTGTGGTACACAAACATCTCCAAACAGGGAAGTATGGAGTACACAGGTTCAGACACTTACTGACTGAGGAGAACTTGACTTCAGCACAGGGACATCACTGCTCCATGACCTGCAACACACACACACACACACACACACACACACACACACACACACACACACACACCCTACTGTTAAACCAAATAAGGGGGTAGCAATTTTGATGTGATATTGAAAAATCTAATGAAATAAAATAAATAAATACATAAACAAATAAACAAACAAACAAATGAATAAATTAAAATTGTTTATTAAACACTTAAAACTATCACCAATACACCAATCACTCTATCCTGAGGATCTCTCCTTTGCCCCCTTTTATGGAAGCCACCATCAGTCATCAAAACTTAATATCTGGGTGCATCCTCTCTCTTTCTGGGTTACTTATAGCTCAGTTGCACCACTTTAAAAGATCACAATAAGCTACTTTGTAATTTTTTTGTTTTTAAAAAAATTAAATAAATAACACACACACACACACACACACACACACACACACACACACACACACACACACACACACACACACACACACACACACACCAATTGTATTTATCCAAGCGAAAGCAGAAAGTTTATTTTAAAGGGACCATCTCCTACACTTGTGTCTTTTCCCCTTAAGATTTACTAATAAAGTTTATTCAGTTTCACTTTATAAGACTATAAGACGAATGGAGTGAATGTTTTAACAATGTAGAAATTTTAACAATGTTTATATGCTACATCAAACTCATTTATTTAAATAGGGGAGAAAAGGTTTTCCATGATATGGGCAGTTCAAATGGTAGATGATCTTAACGTCTAGATGTTTCTGGTCAAATTGGGCCTGTGTAGCATTTAATTAATGCTTACAGGACTTTTTTTATACACATAAAATATTAAAAATTAAAATAAAATAAAAAAAAAATCAAATCTTCAAAAATCATAGAGCATCTCAAAATATGTGCATCATTACATTCCCGCCAGCTAATAATAAAAATAACAAAATAGAACCATCTGAGTAAGAGCAAGCTTATTCATTATATAAAAACAACCAAAAGAAAAAAAAAAACAAATACAAAAACAGTCAGCAGAGATTATACTAAATGGTAGGGTTGGTGTTACAGAGCCACAGACTGTGTCTGCTTCATAATACATGGGCGGATCACATGACAAGCACGAGAAACATGCATGAGAAAGCTACTTTCTTAAAAATGAGAAGGCATCAACTTAAACAGGCTGAGTAAGAAAACACACACACACACACACACACACACACACACACACACACACACACACACACACACACACACAACAAGAAACACATACTCTTCACAGTGCCCACATGTGGGAAGTGCTATAGCAGTCATCCTGCATGTACAAGTACACCTTCCAGCACATTATTCACGACTACTGTTTAACAGGTAGGAGAATTCTTTCATTTCCCTAAACAGCTTGGGGGTTATCAAAATGCAAGACCACAGTGCAGTAACATGCTAAGGGTTGCACGCAGATTAGGCCAGCACGAAGATTAACAAGCATTTTCAGTGGTGAATACCCACTGGGAGAATAATTCAGTCTCCTTCTCTGCTTCCTTCCATATCAGTGGCTAAGTGTTATCAGCAACATTGCTAGCTCGTCCTCTCACATGTTGTGGTCAGCTGGTAGCTTCCCTTATTTTCATTAAACATGGATCAGTCTGGGTCTGCTTCTGTGCTACTGGTGTGTATTCACAGACAACTGTGAGCATGGATTATACTTCACCTACATGCATGCTACATACTTCTACAGATACACTAAATACAGCCATCTCACAGTGAAACATGTTTTGTGATGCTGCGTAGGTCTTTCAACCTCTTTAGATCTACTGCTTGATTATATCATGAAAGAATGAAACCTGCAAACCTGCTGAAACAAAAAATCAACAGTAGGAGATGAGAGTTATAGAATATTTCCTAAAAACTCTGAGCTTCTGTTTAACACAGTTAATTAAACAGTGGAGAAGACTTTTATCACTACATTTCTTTGTCCATTCTGTAACTACACAGCTCTAAAAGTAGAATATTTTGGACTTTAAATAGAGATGGTTTCTTTACTAATACCAATATGGAAAAAACTACAAGGTGTAAGCGTAAGACTCATACTGACCCTGTATTTTCTAACACAAAACAAGAAAATGTATATCTAGGATTTTCCCAAAGTCCAAGCAGAGTCCTAGAAAAATGCTCTAGCCTACCTTTGTTTAAACAATGATCAACTAGCAAAGATAAAAGTTCCCTCATTCTGCTGACTGTGATTCTGCACTGAGGGTTTGATGTTTCTCAGCTGTAGTCCAAACACTCAGAGTGCATGCGAGAGCGAGAGCGAGAGAGAGAGAGAGAGAGAGAGAGAGAGAGAGAGAGAGAGAGAGAGAGAGAGAGAGAGAGAGAGAGAGAGAGAGAGAGAAAGAAAGAAAGAAAGAAAGAGAGAGAGAGAATTGGGAAATTCTCAAATAGCTACAAAACTAACAATAACAAGAATGTGTACTTGTGTGGATCAGAGGCCATGTTCACACACACACACACACACACACACACACACACACACACACACATCTGTCTCGAGTGATATGATCACAAGTGAACAGCGAGACAGTTCACACCTGGCATTTCCACAGGTCTCCAATGCGTCTCCAACGACAGCTTATGAGCAGATTTTATGACTGCAGGAAGGGTACCATCCACATTTACCACACCAGTCTCTCACTGCATTTGTTGTATTCACAGGACATTTTTGTGTGACTTGTTGATGTACATGCACAGGCCGTTCAGCGTAGATCACATGGATTACTAACTCAACAAACAGAAGAGGAGATGAAGAGAAAAGCAACATGGTTGATTCTGGCGGCTCAAAGAGTCGGCTTTGTTCAAAAATGACACATCACTACAGGAGACATGTTAATGCCAGGTGTAAACGGCACCAGAACTACAGTTCAGAGGAGTTTACTATGAAGCTGCATTCAATGGTTAGTATACTGGCTAGGTCTCTTTAAGGCAGTCCTGAGATAGTCAAAGTATCTGAGTTTCACTCAACTGTGTACTACCTTATGATTGAGTTCAGAGTTAGCTTGTCCATGAGCTCAGTTTCATGGAATGCCACTCAAGACACCAGTGAGTCTGTGAGGTGAAACACCGCTGGCGCTGAAAGAAAATACAAGAACTGTTATCGAGCCAAGAGCCCTCTTCACTCAGGCGAGAAGCAAGAGAGAGCAGGCAGGTCTTTGCAGATAGGAATCTAAACATCACACATGGCAGAAACCGCAAAACCAACGGATCTTCTGCAGACAGGGATTTAGGGATGGGTGATAATACTAGTGTTGTGATAATACCCTGGTGAAGTAATATTAGGGATAGGTGAGAAGGAGGCTTTGGACCAAATGTACTGTTCTAGGTAAGACAAGATGCATCATAAAGTTGTATACAAAAGTTTAAACACTCTCAGTGTTAAATATGGCACTTTTCTGAACATTTTAGAGTATAATTTCTATTTATTTGCTAAGTTTTAACATACATAAATTAATAAATAAGAAACGTGCCTTTATTTTTGCACAGACCATATTTAGGTTTTATTTTTCCCCAATATATTAAATTCAACACAAATAAACAGTAAGTATGCATTAAAATGTACAGGAGTATGTTGTTTGGAGACAATGTGTCCTTTTTTCCCCCCCACTTAGAAAACAAGAAAACGTAATTTGACCAGCATATGACCACAGCAGATAATACATGAATAAACCAGGTATCATGCACTTGATTTAAAGTATATCATCCAAAAAATATATTAAACCACTTCATTCAGTACCCTGCAAATTAGATAATGCGTCGATAATATGAGGTTTCAACAGTTATAGGGAAGGTCAAATCAAACAAGGCTGAAAACACAGCTAGGCTATGTCCTCTTTAGACAACTACGCAAGACAACACAGAATCAGCACTGCAAACTGTATGTCTATCACAAAACTGCCTGTTTAAAGCGCATCCGAAAAGTGAGTGTCCTCCGAGTACTGACTTCTCCTTTGCCATTCAAATGATTCCAACTCATACTGTTTTTCTATTAAAATTCATCAACCTGCTCTACAGTCTTGATCCTCAGTTCTTGCAGGCTGAGCATGCAGCATGATGAGTGGAACACTGTGGCACACTGACAGCTGAGCGACGGATAGCTGTTGAACCCAGCGAGCGGCCGAAGCCTAACGCGCCGCTTCCGAAAAGCTGCTGCTGCTAGCGCTCTCCTACGGCCTGCTTAATTTAGCTCTAAATATTTGCCTTCCACCAGGGAGCTGCGCTAGCCTGAAGGAGCTCGGGAGATTTCAATCAAAGAGCAAGAACCAGCAGCAGCATCAATACCAGCCCCAATAAAGAACAGAGGACACATCCCCCATTAAAAGGCTCCCCTGCATGATGGGCCTTTCCTGCCAGGTCACCTCGGCCAGCTTGCACAGCGCTTAGGTGGGAGTGTTATTCTCTTCTGCTCTGGCATTTCAGCCCCAGCTCTGTGGGGGAGTAAAGGAGGTCACTACCAGGCCCCCCAATGAAAGGACTTCTCCCAAAACTCTTTGAAGTGTCACACAGGCAGAGTTGGCTAATGTTACAGCCAAGTGACTCTCTGCCATCATTTAAAGAAAGTGACAACACAACCTCCCCATTCCCTGAGGGAGGGTCTGCAGGAATGGGCTAACAGTCTAATAACCGTTTCGTTGGCGGAAACAGCCACCAGAAGCAGATCTGTCTTCTTAGGTTTCTTTGTGTCAAGCTGCTGTAACGGTTTGTTGAGTTACACCATTTCCTGGTGATTCACACACCCAGAATAGAGCATATTACACTCATTTCTCAGCTACTGAACAGATTCAATAAGCTACTATTTATTCAATAGTTTCTACTGTATTCATCCAGTATTCACTCTATTGTATTCTCTTCCTACTCCGCTTGAACCACAACTAGTAGCCTTCGCTCTACATAATATATGGTTCCAGAGTCCCAGACTGATAGGTAGGTGATTATTTGGCGTGTGTGCGGACAAAGAACAAAATGGATCATTGTTGTTGTTCCAGTT